ATCCCAGTGCTAGGGGAAACAAGTCCATCTCACTGGACTCTGACTTGTCCCTACCATGGGCAGATCTCAGACCTGTAGACTAACACCACATTCAGAATCTAACCAGCTCTCTCTCACCGTCTCCATCTTGAGTTTTTAAGAGGACAGGGCCCAGACCTCCCTTGTGCTTCGTGGTCTAGCAATGCTGCTGCAAGAAGCCCCTGGTCTACAATGTGTGGTTTCTCAGAAATGAAGAGGGAGCTTAATGCACAGTGAGAGAAACTTCGTGGTTTCTCCATCATTAGTCTTTTAAAAATAACCATCTGGGTTTTCTCTCAATCAATGTCTTAAAATAAATGTAGATGTTTTTAGACAAAAGTCAAGACTCTCTCCATTTAGGGCAGGTCTTTTTGTAAACAAGAATCTTGGTTGCAGCTGGGGTTTTGAGAGTGAAGGACAGGCAGACTGGACCATGTGGGCTGGGCAGTGGTCTCAAAGTGGGGACCCTGGCCTGGGACCTCACATCACCTGGGAACCACCTCAGCTCTGGGGAGGGGCTGAATCATCATTTCAACATCTGAGCATATGGTCTGGAGCATCCTGCTTTTATTAGTCTGCAAATCTTCCTGGAGAAGAGTTTTCAGAGTTGCCTCTCAGCTTAGGTCAGCTGTAAAGTAGAAATAACAACTGAGACACACGTGTGTTAAAGGTTCGTGTCAGCTCAAGTCTTCACTGGGTGCACAGGTGCCCAGATGTCCCCAGGTGCCCAAGGTTTTCCTGGGAACACAGCCATGGACCCCTAGATTTATCCCAGCAGATGGCCAGAAACAAGGAAGCACTCAGACAATTAACTCTATATGGGATGGCCAAAGGCAGGGTTGGAGGTATTTTTTAAATAATATGGTTGCTTTTTTCCCCCCTTTAATCTTTGTCAACCAGTGTGCATTATCTAGTTTGGAAAATACATTAAAGATAGAAGGATTTGTTTCAGTGCCTTTGAAATCTTAGCTCTGCTGTCTACCCACTTGTACTACAGATAAGTCAACAGTGAACATGACATTTACGTTGTTTATTTTTCAATTGCATATTCTGTTAGGGAACATTTGAGGACTATGACCATGTGTTCAATAATATGAATACTTGAAAGACTCTCAGACTTTTGCAGAATTGTTTTTTCCAAAGTTTACAGCAATTATGTGCTCACCTGACCACTGCCTTTATTCTGTACTTGGGTTGGCTTGGTGAGCAAGCAGTCACCCCTGTAACTTGGAGGGTGCAGTGGTTTTATCTCTCATTCCCTTGTTCCTGTGCTTTGCCCATGGGGGAACTCTAAAGATTGAAATATTTTGGGGATAAACTTGGGGGTTTGCCCTTTGATTTTTCTCTCACAGTTAGTACTCTTACCACTTGAGCCACATCTTCACTTTGAGTTTTTGCTGGTTAATTGGAAAAAAGAGTCTTTCAGTTTTGTTTACCTGGGCTGGCTTCAAACTGTAATTCTCAGCTCTCAGCCTCCTGAGTAGCTAGGATTACAGGTGTGCTCCATAGGTGCCTGGCTATTGAAGGATTTTTTAACATGGAATTAATTTCCAAACCAATATAATGCTTTAAAAACAAAAGAAAACAACCCAGAATCATAGGGTTTCATTGTTAGAAAATAAATGAATCAAAAATAAAAACAGTGACATTCACTATTGATTATACTATTCTCAAAAAAAGCGAGCAAATCTTAATATTTGGTGTTCAGACAGGGCAGAGGTAGTAAAATGGTATCCAAGGCAAAAGTTTGATAGACTAATTTTGTTTGTTTAAGGTGGAGGAGAGTGTGGCTATGTTGCAAAGGTTGATCTCAAACTTCTATGCTCAACAGACCCTAAAACCTCATCCTCCAAGTGCTGAGACTATAGGTATCTACCAGGCAACCCAGTTGACGGAATATTGTGCAGCCTTTAAAATAATGGTTATAAGGACTACTTAGCTGTTAAGGATCTGCAGGAGTTGTTGGTACAACTGAGTGGAAAAATGCCTTTCTGCAGACAGGATGGGGGAAGATCAGTCGGCACACAGTTCTCAGAGAGGATAAGGCCTGAGCCTGGCCAACACCCTCTGTCAATATTCTCATTGCATTTTATAGTAAATAGTAATAAGGAAGGAGAAAGAGCCAGGTCCCCCGATCATACACATAGACTATTCAGGAAGTGTCTGGAAAAGGCTTCAACTTCCACTCTGGTAAGAGCTGCCCCTTTCCTGTCTTTCAGTCTCACCTTTCCACTGGAAATCCCAGCACCCTGATCCTGAATCTAAACCGATTTTAGCAGGCTGACTCTCTCCTCTTCTTTTCCTTCTCCTCCTGCCCTTTTGAATTCTTAAAATGGTTTAGTTCTCACCAAATAGTGGTGTAGGTCAGGCCCCTTTGATAAGAAAAAAAGAAGATAAAAAGTAATCCCTTGTTAAATTCAGATGCTCAGAGCCTTAGAATGGGCTGTTTGGGGCCAGAGACCCCTATGTTCAGGGTGTAGTTTAGGCTGTGCCTTCTCCAACCCATTGCCTCTGTGTTGGCTGGCTGAGCAAAGTCCACTTACCAGGCTGTGGTTAGAAGAGGTGGCCCTCTTTCCCAGACCTTAATCTTGACATGTGTTTGGCCTTGATTGTCCTTTTCTTTCAGAGTTTGTCTGTGGGGAGGGTGTCATGCAGTTAGAAGGTGTTGTGAGCTCATCAAGAGCCCCGGAATCTGGTCCAGTTTTCATGGCTTCCTGTGACAGGATCTCATGTGCCACCCAGTCCCTTGGTAACATGAAGATGCTAAGCAAATTTTCTCAAAAAATGATTGTGGTCTCCCTGGTTGTAAAGATCTGAGGGTCCTAAGCTATAGGACTCTGAGTCCCACATGACTTAGCCTGGTACATTGGGGTGGCTTATTCATAAGACTTGTATCTAAGAAATCAAACAAACCAAGGGCAGGAGGAACAAAAGTTTGGGAATCACTGGACTAGAAAACGTGGTGAGGCTGTTTCAGATGTGGGAATCCACAGCCCCAGAGTGGAGTGGGGTTGACAGCAGAGGCTCTTGTGCCCCGCCCCCAGCCTCTGGCCAGCTGGCCCCTCCCTCAGCCCTGGGTAATCCACCAGCTGCCTGGGCCCCTTTTGCTTGCCTTGCTCCTCCCTGCTCCCAGCCTCACCCACCACCCCTGGCCTGTCAATCAAGGCCTTCTCCTTCTCTAGGGCCCAACTCTAAGTGTCCCTCCCCTTCCCCACAAGCCTCCTTTGACCCCTACCCCAGACCCTCCAAGTCTGGACTAGGAGGTGCCCTGCAAGTTCCATACATTTCCATCTCAGCCCTTGTGCCCTCTACAACTGTGTTCTTACCCCCAGACACAAGGGAAAGGGTGCAGAATCATCAGTGCAGGAGGCCATGGGCAAATCCCATCACTGCTTCCTACAAATGTGGGCCCAGCCCCTGGGCCTCAGTTTTCTCATCTGCACAATAGGAGTTCTAGTATGTCTGGCACATGTGAAAACTGATTCTCTTCCCCTCTTCACTGAATCTGAAATCTTGCTTTCTTTAGTTTCATAGCCCAATATCAGTCTGAATATATTCTATGGAAAATTCCAGAAATATCTAATCTGAATATCATCACAGAATCTCAGACTGCCCTGCCTCTTCCCACTTGGACCATGAATCATCTCTCTGTCCAGCATATCTACTCTGTATAGGCTACCAACCATTCTTCACTTAGCAACTGTCCACTTACCAGATTGACTGTAATAGTATCTCAGTGCTGATGTTTAAGTAACTCTGGTTTACTTAATAACAGCCCCAATGTGCATGAGCAGTGATTTAAATTAGGTGCCAAGGCTTAAAACATGGAGAGAGAAATTAATTCTGTGCTATGTGCGAACACTGAGAGACAGATAAGAAAACACATGGCATATATACCTATAGATAACGTATACTATTATAGGTAACTAGATAACAGAATTCAATACTACCTGCACTTTCAGACGGTTGTTGGTTGGGGAGGTCTTAAAATACATCCCTAGAATATAAGGCAGGACTGGGGTTTTTTCTTTTGTTTATTTTTTCTTTTTGGATGCCAGTAGTGGGGCTTGAACTCACGATCAAGTTCTGTCACTCGGCTCTTTCACTCAAGGCTGGTGCTCTGCCAATCAAGCCACATTCTCATTTCCAAAAGGTTGCTGAGTCGTGTAGATGAGAGCTACTCCAAGTTCCAACCCACGAATGGTTGGTTCCAGTCCAGGACACGAGGCCTGAGCCGAAGCATAAGCAGCACCCGCTTCCGTTAGAGCCGTGCCACAGTCAGTGCGAGGGATGAGGCGGGTGATTTGTGTTCTGGCGCAAGCTCCTCATCTGGTCTGGAGCAGGGATGCACACTGTTCATGGAGTTGCTACTGTCGGAGCCTCAGTCAGAGTAGCATTCTTTAGGAAGTAGGGAACTGGGTTTTGGTGGTGGTGTTTGTTTTTTGTTTGTTGCTGGTCCTGGGGTTGAACTCAGCCCTGGCGCTGTCCCTGAGCTTCTTTTGCTCAAGGCTAGCACTCTACCACTTGAGCTACAGCACCACCTCCCGCTTTTTCTGAGTAGTTTATTAGAGATAAGAGTCTCACAGACTTTTCTGCCTGGGCTGGCTTCAAACCTCGATCCTCAGATCTCAGCCTCCTAAGTGTTAGCATTCCAGGCGTGAGCCACCAACGCCCAGCTGGGAGCTAGGTTTTCAGGAAGACATTTCCGTGTGGTGTCCAAGAGCAAGGCTTTGTGTGCAGTTAAAATCCGAGCCCCATCACTTTCTACCCAGATCTCCCCCGCTTCTCTGAGACTCAGCTTCGATAGCTGTGAAAAGTACTGCACATGCTATTTAAGTTCCTGGTGCCCAGGCCTGGTGAGCCTCTGTGACTCGGCCTAGGCCCAGCCTTCAGAATGAAGCATGGTAGGGAGAGAGGCTGGGTCTTGCCAGTCAGCCTTTCTCGTGCATGGCAGCGCCCTGATGCCATCTCTCTGTCCACAGGGATGTGTCTGCAGGCATTTGTAGAAGCTTTCTTCTTCCTGGCCCAGAGGAAGTTCAAGATGATGCCGCTCCACGAGCAAGTGGCCTCGCTGATCGACCTGTGCGAGTACCACCTGTCCCTGCTGGACGAGAAGCGCCTGCTGTGCAGCGGGGTGGGACGGCGGGGGACAGCGCCTGACCACAGCCTTCCGCAGGAGACAGTCCCCACTGCCCAGTCCACGGGCACCATCGTGGGGGCCAGTAAGCTCTCCTACTCCAAGCCTGCTCTGTCCTGAAGGCCACTCTGTCCCAGAAGTGTGAGCCCTTCGGGGCCAAAGACAGTCCAGGGCCCCTGCCTTGGAGAATCCTTAGCCACAGATGCCAAGGATTCTCTGCCCAGGACCCCCACCTGGCTGAGAGCCCTGTAAATTATTTTCGTATTCTGCAGCACCCCGATTTCTAATGCCGATTCTCACCATCCCCCCACCTCCTCTCAGTTCCTCTTGCTGACCCGCCCTGTTTGCCAGTCATCAGTGGACATATGACATCTAAAACAGGACAGATGGCACCTGCTATTCTGGGCTCACAGGAAGCACCCACTGGGAGAAATCTGCTGTGCTCAAACAGGGTGGGAGCAGGAGGGACAGCAGCCATCCCCAAGCCAAAGCTGGGACTTGGGCCTCTGCGAGCCTGCTGCTCCACGCCCAAGGACTCCATGCTTCCTTCCTTCCACCCATCCTCTCTGCAAATCAAGAAGGCAGTCTTGACCCTCCCACCTCAATCATGTGCTATGTGGATGTAGTTAACAAATTAGCCTCATTTATTTCGTTAATTTGCCTGTTGCCACAATGTTTGCTTTGTCACTAATTAAGACGTAATTAAGACGTACGTTGGGTTCCTACAGCCTCAGCGGTAACCAGAGCCTCCGAGTTGGTTCGGGTTGGTTTAGTTTGGCCTTGATGTCAAAACAGTCTCCCTATCCAGGTGGCCTTGTGGCCTCAGAATGGACCCTTGAAGGGCTGGGTGCTGACGGAATGGCCAAGGCCCCATGCTGGGAGTCCTGGGAGAAGAAAGGGGAGGGGAGAGGGTTCTGGGAGGAAGACACAAGACTCCGATAAGAGCCAGGCCACAGGAGCATGCACTTGAGCAGTGTGAGCAGGGATCCACCGTGTGACACAGAGGTTGAAACCCGCAGGGCTGCTCTTCTGAACCCCCCGCAGGCCGCACAAACGGATGTCCCAGGACAGGCAGTTGCATCTGGACACACTTGTTTTCATCCAGGAGCTGCCAAGAGTCTGGTAATAGAAGTTCTAACCTGACACCATTTCCCAAAGTGGATCTGCAGCTAGTTCTCCCATGCCGGGCATTTCACCAAGCCCGCTGGACATGGGCAGGTGAAGAGCCAAGAAGTTGCGCTCTAGCCGTGTCCGGGGTGGTGGAGGAAGTTGGAATTCATGGTGATTAATGTCAGCTAGAGGCAGGTCTGAGACCAGGCCCTGTCCTGATGGAGCCCAACGTCCAGAAGCAGCCTCTGCCCTGACGTGACTGGGAAAGGAGGCGGCCAGCTCACCAGAGGCCCCTAGGTGACTGACAGGGCTCTTTCCCCCTAATACTATTGGGCAGAAAGCATGCAGAGGTGCTCCATTGTAAGAGGGAGCGCTAGGAGCCTTTGGGAAGTCCCACTGTGTTTCCCGCCTTGGGTGACTCACTCACCCCTCCTTTTTCAGGCTATGGTTCACATAAAAGCAAAAGCAGATGGTTTCTTTTTCCTAGCAGGAAGACAATAGCTAGGGACCCCTCCACATGCCTGTGCTTGCTGTGGCATCATCCCGTTCCTTAGGCCTAGCCTGGGGGCTGGGGGACAGCTCAGCTTTTCTGCTATTAGAGGCCGGAAGAGCTCTGAGCCACCACCTAGCCACAAGAGAGCCTGCCATGGTGTCTGCCAAGATGCTCCAGCCAGCAGGTGCCGTTCCTTGGGAGCCGATCGGGGCCTCCTGGAGTCCAGAACCTCCATCCCCAAGACAAGCCGCCTCATGTTCCTCCTGTAGAACCGTGACCACTTTTTTTTAACCCAGATCTCATCTTTTCCCTCTCCTGGCCTGGCCTGTGTCCTCGCCTCTCCACCCCCAGCTGTGACTCCAGGCCTGTGCTGTTCCCTCGGGGCCCCTCCCAGGAGCCTGTCCATAGCCTTAAAAATCCTGCCTTTCTCACCTGTACTACACCAATTGGCTCAATATCTCCAGATGGTTCCTTGGCTGGTAAACCTTCTCTTTCCAAAGGATAGTAGCCATCTCATGACACTGACACCCTGAATAGATCATAATTATGTCCCCCATACTGGCCTTGATCTCAGAGCCTTGCACTTGCTCTGCAGGTGCTCTGCCATTTGAACCATACCTCTAGCCCTTTTTGCTTTAGTCCTGTTTGATAGGATCTCACAGTTATGCCTAGACAGTGATTCTCCTACCTACATCATCTGTATAGCTGGGATGGATCATAGGTACATGGCACTAGGCCCAGCCATAATAGCTTTTCTAACTCAAGTCCAGTTCAGGTCATCTTCCCCAAGGACACCCCCCCCCCGCCCCCAGCTTGGCATCCAGCCTGACCTGTCCTCAGAAAAGAAGTCATCTTGCTATGAATGTAGACGTGTGTGAAATACGGACAGGCCTGGGGAGCAGTCCGCCTTTCCTGTATGAATTTAACAACAACAACAAAAATAGTGCTTCTCAGTTTACAACGTGGTTTTAAATCTTTTTCTGCATCTAATCCTCTCAGTGACCCAGCATTGAGATGAGGATTATCATCACTCTAATGATAGCCAGGAGGTCCTATGGCTTGTCTGAGGCCCTGGGTCTGCAAGCATCTGAGAATGCAGAAAAGTTGTGTATATGTTCAGCGCATACGTGGAAGCCCTGGGTCCCTGGGTCATTTCCCCTGCTCTTCTTTCATCGAGCACCCTGGGAAATTCTGCAGGCCACATAGACTGTTGGGCCTCCAGGCCACTAGCCACCCCTGTGGGGGTCATATATTGCAACCTTCGGGTGCAGTCACAGAAAGCATAATAAATGTGCAAGTGTTTCATAAACCAAAGTGCTATGGAGATGTCGTGTTACTTCAGGCCAGCCACTTTCTGGTTTCTTACACAGTGTGGTGGGTCCACAAAGTGAGACACTTTCCTGAATCATGTCTGTCAAGACAGATGATGCCAAACCGGTCAGCTCCACTCCCTCCACACTCCCCCTCATCCTCACCTCCTTGAAGACATTGGGGCTTGAAAAATGGCCCTCGCCACTCCTCGGACATATGGAATCTGCTTTGTGATTGGCAGACTGCTCCTCCAAAATAACTCCATTTCCCCCCTCCAGCCCCCTTTCCTTTCTCGATTAATATCCTAGACTCCCATTCCTATGAGAACCACACTTGCAGTGCTCTGCCTTTGTTGGAAGCTCAGGAATGATGATGATGCTCCCAGTGTCTGGGAGAGCTATCCCCCCAGCTCAGCAATAGAAATTCACCAGCGTGCAGTCCCCGAAAATCCTCCCACAGGCTCTTAGTTGATGGACATGACAGAAATTTCCCCACGTGGCACCATGAATTTCTCCCTCACAAAATAAGTCCAATTTTTTTTTCCTGTTCCCAGAGACAAAGGATTACTACAAACTATTCAATTGCTTTCATTGCTTGTAACCCAAAGTCTAGCTTTTTCTACAGCTAAGAAAATCATGCTTATACACACACACACACACACACACACACACACACACACACACACACGGGTGGGGGGGAGCACATATTCTGATTAGTATTGAGCCTTGATATAAAATAGGTCACTGCTGTTCTCATTTCTAGTTATTTGCTTCTGAGTTTGATTTAGCAAGCAGAGGGAAATGAGTTTGTGTATGTGCGCATGTGCACATGTGTATGCATGCCAATAAGAAGACAGAACTCAGCTGGGTGCCAGTGGTTTATGCCTGTAATCCTAGCTACTAAGGAGACTGAGATCTGAGGATCACGGTTCAAAGCCAGCCCAGTCAGGAAAGTCTGTAAGACTTTTTTCTCCAATAAACCACCAGAAAACCAGAAGTGGTGCTGTGGCCCAAATGGTAGAGCATTTGCCTTGAGCTGAAGAGTTCAGAGACAGCGCCCAAGCCCAGAGTTCAAGCCCCACGACCGACAACAAAAGAAGAAGGAGGAGGAGAAGGAGAAGGAAGAGGAGGAGGAGGAGGAGGAGGAGGAAGAAGATGACAACGAACTCAGGACCTCATGCTTTCTTATTTTGTTCTTTGGGGGGTTTTTTTGTTTGTTTGTTTTTGCTTAAGGCTGGTACTCTGCCACTTGAGCCACACCTCCACTTCTGGCTTTTCATTTCTTTCTTTCTTTCTTTCTTTCTTTCTTTCTTTCTTTCTTTCTTTCTTTCTTTCTTTCTTTCTTTCTTTCTTTCTTTCTATTTAATTGAAGGTAAGTCTCGTGGATTTATCTGCCTGGGCTAGCTTTGGACCATGATCCTTAGAGTTCAGCCCCTAGTAGCTAGGATTACAGCCATGGCACCTAACTAGAAGTGGGTTATTGAAAGTCCTAGTACAGCCTGACTGCCTACCAAGAGGCTCCTGGGGAACATTATCTTCTACACAAAGCGGGGAGGTGGGGGGTGAAGGGTTTGCTAAGAGTCCAATCAGGGCTGTAGTCCCGGCCTCCATGGCCCCCAGGGCACCAAGAATGGGGAACCCCAAAGGGGCCAAAACTTTTCTGGAAAGGCGGAGAGCTTTGGATTTTGCCTTACCTGATATACTCTACGTGGCCACAGACCTCTCCTTGACTCTTGCTTTCTGTGTTGGGGCGGGGGAGGGGAGAGTGCTTGAACTCCAGGCCTAGGTGCTGTCCTTAAGGGTTGTTTTTTTTTTCTCAAGGCTAGTGCTCTACCATTTGAGCCACAACTCCACTTCTGGCTTTTTTGCTGGTTAAGAGTCTCATGGACTTTTCTGTCCAGGCTGGCTTTGAGCCTCCATCTCATATCTCAGCCTTCTGAGGAGCTAGCGTTACAGGTGTGAGCCACCGGTGCCTGACTTGACTCTTGTTCTTTGTACAGTAGAGATCTTGTCATAGTAGATGCGCAGAGCCGGGCAGGGGCTTGGGAAATGTCTGCGGACACAACTCATGGTCTCCATATGCTCTGCCTGGAGCCCGGCTGCCAGCCCGTCAGCCCTGGTAGGTCGGGCTCCTCTAGGTGTGGTAAAACCCCCCATGGGCTCAACTCTCCCCTCTCCCGGGCCCAGCTGTGTCTTTAAGAAGCTGC